AAAAGCAGAGATTTCCAAAATAAAGAATCATGTGGCGGCGCTTGGTGGCGGCTTGTTCGGCTCGAACAGTCCAGAAGCTTCGAACCGTCCAGACGCCCAGACACAGAGCCCCAACAGACCCGAGCCGAAGACGGAAGACTAGCTATCCCGTAGACGCCGTAGACCAACCGGTGCCCATGTCCGTCCGAGCCACCTCCCAATGCAGCAGGGACTCTCAGGTGGGGTGATGGGCGGGCTGATGGGCTGTATACAACCCAATGGGAATGGCCTCCAACCTACTAGCGATGGCCTCCAAGCTAGGTTGCCCAGCTCTATCCTCATCACGCAATGCAGTTTGGAAAGCTGAATTGGGGGCAGATTGGACAAATCCGCCGAGCTCGACGTTAGGGCCCTGCTCAAGCCATGCGTGTGTGTGACGGCTGAAGTCCCTTCTTTTCAGTTTCCAGGGGCGAACCCGAAGGTGGAGGTGTTCATGAAGCTTGCGCAGGTTTCACACAGAAAACACCATGAAGACAAAGAGTCACATGAGTTGCAGGGCCCGATGCTGTGCGCTCACCCGATCCGTGCTCTCGCACCACATGTGGAACCCACCAAGCATACCACGGATCACGAAAGATCGTCAGATACGACCCACACTGGCTAAGAGATGTTTCTACAAGCTATCAGTCAAGCTATCATATGCGTGAAAGCCTGCATGTATTGCTTCACCCCTGCTTGGAATTGAGGTTGGGGACGCCCGTCCATGCATCTCTCAGATGGGACTGGACGTGATTGGTGCGACGCGGAAACGTGTTTGTGCAGCTGCTTGACCTGTTGACCTCGGGGTTAGATCAGCATGCCTAAACTCCTGCTAGCCTAGACTTCAAAGTTTCCTCATGGTGTTCACGAAAGACGCAACTCTGAGAAATCAAAAAGTTCGCGTCAGCCCCAAGATCACGGTAATGAAGGTACATCCTTGGTGACGCGCGCTTCAAGAACGGACGTTGGACGCCGCCTGCACAGCCGCTTCCCACAGCCAGATGGATGAAGTTTGCTTGATTTACTTCAAGAAGAACAAAAGTGTTGATTGTAGAAAAGTCGTGGATCTGGGGTGTTAAAACATGCTTTAAGCCTATTTTCGGTAGAGTTGCTGCAACCCAAGTCTCATAAAGTTACCATGGATATGCATTTTGATGCCTGTTCTTTTGATCAGACAGATTTGAGGTTTTCCTGCATCTGACGACTGTTTAGTGTTGCCTGCTGCCTGTGGCTGAGGCTTTTTGGCCGAAGCAACACGGGTGGAGAGGTTCGGCGCACCGTTCGGCGAATGCGAAGGAAGACGATCTGCCGAAGATCCGTCGATTTCGCCAGGAGCTGCGCAAGACGTTGGCGCCCTGCAGGCGTGGATCGTTGATGGAAGCGAAGACGTGGGCTGATTTCGGAGTCGGATCTGATCGATCCGAAAGGTCCTCAGAATTGGGTCGCTCGGCATCCTTTCGAAAAGCACAGGATCTCTTCCGAAAAGAAGTTGCAAACGCTGTCGACGATGAGAAATGTCCGACCCATGTCGGCTGCCGAGATGCGCAAAGGTTTCGCTTCCGTCTTTGGGTCTTTGGCAGGTAGGACACGGGACGAATCATTGGGTTCTTAGATTTAAGAAACAGAACGCATGTACATGCGTTAGTTGGACTTGTACTTGCTTCGTTTTGCAGAGTTCTGGAGGCGTTTGCAGAGATCCCAAGAACACGGTGCGTTTGGTGCTAAGGCCGCCCAAAGCAGTCATTGAACGATGGCGGCATCAGGCGGATCTCTCTGGGAAGCGCAAAGCTGATCGGGATCGTTGGATTAAGGATGCCCCGGTCACAGTCTTTCAGTACTGTGACCCACTAAGCAATAATGATGTAGGAAAAAGAAGAAAAGGAAGAAAGGTCAAAAGAAAAAAGAAGAGGAAAAGAAGAATGATAAGGGATTTGAGGATTCCAACTTTGAAGTGTTTTCTGGATGGGGGGGTACTCACCCGCATGAGGAAAGTAAGCGACCAACCCATGGTGCGCTCAACTGGGCTTCCTGCCAGATCATGAAGAAATGGCCAACTAGCTTAGCTTATGGATACAAGGACGCTACCTTCGGAGCAACTGGCATCGCTACGAACGTAGCGTCGTTTTTTGTAAGCATGGAAAAGTAGAAAAGAAGTTCGAGGCACGAAACAGCAACTTCTAAGAAACGAAGAAAGGCAGATTTCAACCTCCTCTTTTTGCTCCCCTAATTTAAGCTGTGTGAGTTTCCCTCCAAGAACGCTGGGACTTCTTGTTATTTCGAGAACGCCAAATGACGTGGGTTTGTCCTTGGAATTTGGTGTTTTTTTCCGACGCAAAAGAAAGCTCACTTTGAATCATTGACGGATCGCCGTTTGGAGAGACTTTTACATGTAAAAAAGGCAACCTACTAGCGGTGGCCACCAACCTACTAGCGATGGCCTCCACCTAATAGCTTCTAGATACTCTTAGCTTCTTGCAACTGGTAGCGATCGCCGTTTGAAGACAAGTTGCTAAACCAAGATGGATGTGGATCCTGCCGTGCGATTGCCAGAAGCACCTGTCGATGTGTGTCAAACTCAGCAGAACTCATCTGGCAAACAGTTGCCACATCACAGACAGTTGCGGTGGTCCCTTTTGGGGGGCTTGTGCAGCTTCTGCAGAATGTTGTTCATTCAGCAGTTTGACTGTTTTGTTGGTTTTTTCATTCACACTGACCAGCAAAAGAAAAAGTAAATCAGTGTAATCCAGCAAGCAAGAATTCAAGACATGATCCTCCTGTCCCCTTTACCGCACCAGAAGCGGCCTGTGCGAGGTATTCTCACTTCTCAGATAATCGCATGGTCCGTCGCTTGGCCTTCAGTCTGCACCTTGGTCCTTCGCACGACCAACGGACGGGGGAGGCGGCCGCGGCCGCGTCTGGCGACGCAGGTGGACCACGAGAGACGCTCATCCGGTGACTTGGAGGAATTCAAGGGAGTACACTGGACATGAAGTCATGGAAGTGGATGGCATAGGCCTCTGGAAAATCATTCTTCTTTACCAACAGGTGGTGCCATCCACTTCCATCTTAATCATTGACACTTACCGACTCGGAGAGGAACTTCTGGCAGTTCTGACTTGCCAAGGGCACCTTCCTTGCCATGAGTCTGCTTGCAGATCCCATGCGCACCTTCTCACCCAGCAGCAAGCCCTAGTTTCGATCAGATGTCCTCCAGATAATGATTGCCTTTTCGTCGTCTTGTTTCTGAACGGATTTGTGACAAGGTTGATGAAAGTTAGGAGCATATCCTGTTTGGGTATGCAGGCAGCTGCGTTTCACTCCAAAACTCTTCTCGTGCGTCAGAGTCGCCAAAGTGAATATCCATCGTGAACGACAAAATGCGTTGAACCTCTGTGAAGAACGAAAATCAGTGATGGAGCCTTGCGCAAAATTCAGGAAGGATGTCGATGGAACCTGTGTTGCTCCCTTCATGTGCAGTGAGAGGCTCCCAGGCACCCGTCAATGCCCACTAGCCATGTTTCTCGAGAAACAGGTAGAGCTGAGAAAAGGCAGGCACGAAACGACTCAGTGACGTGGGTTCGTTCTGGCACGCAGAGTCCAAGACAGAAGTTGTGATGTTTGGGCGGCCCGGTTTTGGGTTTAGAAACCACAAAAGACCACTTAACCGATCACATGCCCGTGAGTAGTTCGAAGACACTGATCGCATGTGATCGCTGATGGCCCACTTGCTGCCTCGTCCCAATGAGGTCTCAGCAGTGCCTCTCAGCAGTGCTGAGCATGTTGAAAACATGTCAGATTTTTTGGGTTCAGATGTGGGGGAAACGATGGAGACAATCAGAACTAGGGATGCCATCGCTATTAGGTTGGAGCCCATCACTATTAGGTTTCTTTTGCAACTTTGGGTCACGATGCCGCAGTCTCCAGGATGAAGCAGCTGGGTATCCTTCTCAAAGCCGAGGCAGGACCGCTGGGTTTGTTCATGAACAATTTGCACTCACGAACATCATCCTTCCTTTTCCCGGAAAGCTGTACCGGCATCGTTTGACCTGCGAAACTTAAGCCTCGCTCCTCGTCCAACCGCACCTGTTGTACAACAGGCCACGGAGATCTGTGGAGAACGTCAGTTTCATGGCAAAGACCATAGGCCATGATGCAAAAGAAACCTAATGGCAAGAAAGTTCCGGCCTCAAACCTAATAGCGAAAGGAACCTAATAGCGATGGCCTCCGACCTAATGGCGATGACCTCCAATCTAATAGCGATGGCCTCCGACCTAATGGCGATGGCCTCCAAGGTAAGCCATTTCTGACTGACGGTCCTTTTTGGAGAGATTGATATTGGCTTTTTTGTCCAACTCTGGAGTCGTGGTCCAACTTGTTCAAGCGCCAATCTTCTGCCCTGAAGGTTGGTCGTTGCAATACATGAGCTGCCTCTTTTTTCATACGTCGTTGCACCAAGGTTGTGTGGCCCACCTTAAGTCCTTGGTCAAAACGGAAAGTTCCACCAGTTCCCAAGATGTCCAGATTTCTTCCAACCAAAGAACCCAAGTCTCCGACGCGCTTCGACTGCAGGCAACGAGCAGTTCACTCCTTAGCATCTTTTACACTTCGACTCACTTGTCACATGGAAGCGGATCAATGTGGCCCCTGTTTCAACGAAAATTGATCTACAAATCCAGAGCAAAACCTCCACCTGCCAGCCATGTTTGCTGCGTCTTCCTTTTTGGATCGCCAACCCGGTCCGCAGAATCTTCGGACCTGCTCGGACGGAGTGGACCGTCGCTGGGGACACCCACGTCGGACTGGCTCAAGTGCCACGTCTCAGCGCACGACGACAACGACACATGGGGAAAAGCATGTTGTGAGGTGATGCGAAAGCATTTCGCGAAACAGAGAGAGAGAGAGACTGGCCTCCTTGAATTGAACTATCATTGGCAGAAGAAAGATCTACTTTTGGATAGATGTATAGATCTGTCTTCCTTGGAATTGCATCTTGATCCGTGGAAAAGATTCAAGAAACACGTCGCCGTCGCCATGTCATGTCAGCAGCGGACGCTGGGGGTGCCGACCTGATTGATATGTTTTGATATGTTTTGATTGTCCTGAGCAGAGAAGGACATGAAAAAGCTGCAGCCATTGAAAGACTAAGAAATGATTGAAAAAGCTGCCCCTTTCATCGAGCTGCCCCTATGGCTAGAGTTAAGCTGCAGGAAATGATTCTGCCGATCTTTCGATCTGCCGGTGCTCAAAGACACCCGTTTTCGTCCATTTCGACACCTGTTTTCGTCCGCGGATCTCGCAACGGCGCCGTGAGAGAACGCGGAGAACGCCGCTCCGAGGCGCATTGGACTCGTTGCGCCAGGCCGAAACTATGACAAAGACCCTTTGCAGGTCAGACCTTGTTGTTTTCTTGTTACTAGTAGCGATGCCCTTTGTTACTAGTAATTAGGCTATTTGCTACTAGTAGCGTCACGATTCAGGTGGCTGAGCTGGGTGAAGTGCTTCCGTCACCGGAGGAGGAGCGCAGCACACCGCCGGCGCGGGGGGCCGGATCTTTTCTGAGGGGGAGGAGGAGGCTTGTTCATGGCCGACACGTCCAGAAAAACGAAGGCTCTTTTGTGCAGGTGATGATGTGTAATTGGAGCAGAATGCCGAATCCTGTGGACGCTGGAATCTTCGCTTTTTGAGAAGAAAGGGCATCGCTACGAACGGAGCGATCCGACGCTACCAGTAGCTCCTGGCCTTACTACTAGTAACAAGAAGCTACGAAGGGGGGCCCTCAGCCGCCCAACCACATCGGATGATCCAACCCCGATTCCTCTGATTGGCACGCGCCACGTGAAGGCCTTGAAGCTCTACTTCGCAGCACGGCGGTTGTCTCAAGAGGAGCAGCAAGCAGCAGCAGCAAGCTGGCATGTTTTTGTGCCTTTGAGGCCTCCAACCTAATAGCAATGGCCTCCAACCTAGCAGTAACCGGGCACCTCCGCCTTTGAGACGTCCTGGAAAGGCCAGAAAAAGCTTCCTTCAAATCATTTGAATCTGGGACTTGTTACCAATTGGACGATGCGTTGGCAGAGAATGCCTTCGACGATGCGGTCTGGGATTGTTCTGCCCCAAATGTGTGATCGATCTCAAGGACCAGCCAGCCTTTGAAACATCCAAACTCGCCGGTTCCATCAGGAGCGATGGGAGAACCTCTCGGTGGTGCAAACCAGTGGTGGCTGGGCGTCTCACACCTAGCAGCCGTCACGTGTGGGAAGTCAAAATGAACTCGACATGGTTTTCTTCGCAAGAAAACGTCGTTTAAATAAAGGGAGCGGGAGGTTGGGAAGAAAACAGCTTCGAGTGTGCACAAGTTGTATGCAAACTCGTGTACAACATGTCCTTGTAGAAAGCAACCCTTGTCAACAAAAACCAACTTGAAATCTGCCACATTGGAACGAGCACATCGTGCTCCAGAGTTTGACATCTTTTTGTTAGATAAAAAAGATGTGTGCCAGAAGCCCAGTGTAGTGAGCATCGTGCTCCAGGCCATCGTCCGGAATCTGGAACCATCCACGATTGGATCTGTGCACTCTGGGTCCGTTTGAGGATCCGCGCTGCGCACTTCACGGAGGACTTCGAAGACTTCCGCTTTGAGGTGCTCCGCACTTTGCTTCCCCCGCCAGAGCCAGCCAGCCCGGTTGGAGCTGTTCACCAGGGTCCCTTCATTCAGCCAGTGGGAGGTCACTAATAGGTGAAACATGGTGAAACGTGGAGGGCCACGAGAATATGCCATTACTAAGAAGCCTCTTGCTACTCGTAGCGATGGCCTCCAACCTACGGCCTCCACCTAGTAGCTTCTTGTTACTAGAAAGCTTCTTGATGCCATTTTCCAGGGTAGAGAAGTTTGGGGAGCACAAGAGTTCAGTCCCCAAATGTGCAACTACTCCACATCCGCCGTGTGAACCCATTTCTTCCCCGTCCCTCAGTCAAGTTGACAACTACGCCATGCAGACTACGCCACTTTTGTACATCACGCAATCACCGGCGTTTCCTCACAAAGAAGGTCAAAAAGTCTTCAGCAACTAAGTAGACAGGGGGGTGAAAGTGAAAGCCTTTATAAAACGAATCGAACTCATGTGTGCCACGAATCAAACTCATGCAAGCTTGCCCAGGAAACTTCAGCGGGTTTTCTGTCGGCCAACGATCGTTTGTCGTCTCTGTGGTGGCTCCACTCAGATGGTGATCCCTTTGCTCTCGCACGAGACCATCACACTTCGCACTCACGAGGCGCCGACGTAAAAAAAAAGACTCAGGGCGAAGGGCGTTGTTCAGGAGCCAGACGAATGAAATAGGATAGCATATGATAGCATGTTGTTCAGGAGATCACGCCAGGTCTCCACACGATTCCCGATTCGACAGGAGCGATGCCAAGAGCTGGGTCTTCAGGCGAAAATGGGGAGTCCAAGTCTGAGCTTTGGAGCCCATCGCTAGTAGGTTGGAGGCCATTGCTATTAGAAATAAAGAAAGAAGAAAAGGAAGAAGAGTCTTATAGAGTTTGCTATTTTGTTGGAGGCCAGCGCTAGTAGATAGGAGGCCTTCAGTGTCCAAAGCTGCGAATCATTGAGCGAACGAGTGGGATCCGGCTGTTCAATCTGTGATCAAGCCGGAGGTGATTGAATCCTTGTTCTCCTGGGTGCACAAGCAAAAGTTGTCGGTTAAGGTGAAACATGGTGAAACTAAGAAACAGCCAATCAGAAATCACGGGATTTTCAGCGAGACTCGTTGAAGATACATCATACTTGTTTCTTGTTTTTTTTGTGAAGTTTCGTCATGTGTTCTGCTTGTTTGGGCCATGTTTGGGCCACTTTGTTTGGGCCATGTTTGGGCCACTCGATTTGCAATGCAGGGCATCTTCTACGCTTTGCTGGACGCAGATGGAAGTGTGCCTCAGCAAAGCAGACATTTGGTTTTACAGCAATATCTGCAGCATTTGTCATAGACGGACGTGGATTGAACGACTGAAAAAGGTCCCTCATTCCAAGCGTCATTGATTCACCAGGAGTTCAAGAAGTTCTGAGAAAAGACGAGTTCCCATGAAACCAAGTGCGAGAAGTGTTTGAGACTCTTTCGAAGCGGGGGGTGTTGTTTTCAGTGGACGCGATGACGGCGATGAAGGTCGTTCTCTACGAAGTGCGGCCGCCGGAACTGTGGTCACCGATAGGCACCGCTGGGCGCCAGCTGGAGCTGGAGAAGCTGAAGCTGTTTTGGGAATGAGATTCTTTTGCGAGGATCTTGGACATGTGTCTAACACAGAGGTCAATTTGAAGCCATTTAAGGCACCATGCAGGTGTTCTACGTGTGGTCAACGGGTTTGTGGTCCAAAACGGTCCTGCCCTTCAGATCAGCGGCGTTCCGATGAGCCCTTCCTCCAGCCAAGACCTTAGAGCCTGAGGGCGATGCCCTTGTTACTAGTAGCGTCCTCTTGCTCCGTTCGTAGCGATGTATTTGGCTCCGTTCGTAGCAACGGGGTCATCTTCAACCAGAGACGTGTGACCTTGGACATCACAGAAGATGGATTCAATCCCGGTCGATGACACAGAAGAAGGGACACAAGTGACACAGAAGAGGGGACTATGTACCGCGGTCGCCTCAAATGGGGTCCGGCCAGATGTCCCATACAAGTCGTTTGAATTTGACGTGTCACCCGACGACAAGGCCGGAGATTCTGGCCCAGCTGGCACAGGCCACAGGGGGCTGTATGGTCTGGTCGACCCTGGGGGATTTGCAAAGACCCTCGCAATTGGGGTTCTGCAGGCCCATCTTGTGTGTGAAAGCGTTCTTGTTCCAGACTTAGCTGTGTAGTTTGTGTTGTAAGAAGCACACTTTTGGTTGGAGTTCTTGCGAGTCTTGCAACGGTTATGTCATGGAGGTGTTTTCCAGATGGATTTGTTTTCCTGATATTGAGACATCAGCATGCTAATGACATCAGCACAGTCGCGCAGGATGCAGGAAAGGAACAAAACGACAAAATGGAAAAGGCAGGCGAAGCAAAGAAGAGGAAGAGGCGGACAGAAACTTGCGATGCGCGTTTGATCTACGTACGAAATCCAGGACCTCAGTAGTACTATACAGCAAGAATGTGTAAGAATCATATCATTTATTCAGTATCATCAAAGCACAACTGTTGGGTGCTCACCTTCAGTAGTCTAGATGGTTTGTTTCTTCTTTCCGTGTGCCTGACTTCTCCTTTTTGCTGCTCTCCTTGTTTAACGTGCCAAAAGCTCTGTAAGAACTGGAGGTGTTGTGCGGTGTTGTGCCTTGCTCAGGAAGAAAGACCAGTGAAAACGAAAAACCGAAGACCTCGGTCCCATGCGCGCGGAGAACCTCCCCGTGCTCCGCTTCACAAAGGTGACCGACCGACTCGGTGTGGACGGACCGCTTCAAAAAGAGGTCCGGAGACAGCTGGCTCAGCTGGTTGGTTCAGAAGTTATGGCCAAGTGCTGACGTGGCTCGTTGTGGCTCAGTGACCATAGAAAGTGTCATGTGGCACCATGGTGTTCTTGGAACATCTTGGAACGAGAGTCAAAAAAAGGCAAGCAAAACAAAAATCTTGCTCGAGAACCAGCGGTTCATGCTGCGCAACTCTTTGAGCTCCTGAGACATTCATAAACATGCGCTGATCCTTGAGCAGCAGGGAGCCATGACAGTCGCTACTTGTAGCAAGGGCATTATTACTCGTGGCAAGAAGCTAAGACCTCACATCGACATCACCCAGTACTGTTTGGCCATGAGTTACCTCCAGCTCTTGCCGCTGTCGCAGGCACGATCAAGACAAACAGCACTGGTTTGAAAGTAAAGGCAAATGGTCTTATCAGGTCTTATCACTTGTATGACTTGTATTCAATGCAGACACATCTTTGAATCGCCTCTTGAAAAGAGTACGAAGTAAATCTCTCCTCGAAATCCTCCCACCATTTTGGTAGTGACTCGTGACGTGTTCCTTTTTGGTGTGCTCAAGCTGGGGGTCAATAGATCCGGGAGATGGAATGCTCAAACTCAAACAAAGACCAGACGCTCCACGGTTGTCTAGTTCTCTTCGGTTGTCATGAGTCTTCATGTTGAATGGGAAAGTTCTATCTAAAAGACTGGTGTTGCTTCGAATTGACCCAGCTCGCTGGTGAGACCCTTCCGCTGGTGAGACGATGTTTGATAAAACCCTTGGCTCCCCACCAAGTGATTCCTCTCGCTAGTAGTAACAAGTGCCACGCTACTAGGAACAAGTGCCACGCTAGTAGTAACAATTAAGCTATTACTTACTTTAATTTAGTTTTACTTTAATTCTAATTGCAAACACTGTGCCACGACATGTGCACTCCGTCGGAAACATCGTGCCAGCTTTGTGTTCTGATCGGGTTGTCAGGAGCCCCGTTCGTAGCGTCCTTGCTCGCTCCTAGGAGGATCAGTTGCTTCTTCAGCAGCTCAGCATCTTGGATCTTCTCAATGCGCTTTGTGGCTCCATCTTGAAGCATCGCCCAGAGGCCACAGGGTCGTCACGGACAGTGGGGTCAGGCTGGACGCCCTCCCCACGAAGGGACATGTTGCCGCTTAGATCGTTTCGGTGTGGAATGCTTGATCACTGCTTCGAAAGACAGGAGCACTAGCGTGAGCACTGGCGTCCTTTCGATCCAAGTTCCGGGCTTCAATCTTTCTGGCTCCAGAAGTACCAAGGGGAGCACTTGTTGTTTTGTATTTGGTGCCATGTGAGGCCTCCAAGCTGGGGCCTGTGCTGCGAACAGCCTTGGATAGCTATTTACTCAAGCTGCCACACAGTGGCTCAGGAGCACGACGTTTCGACCACTGCTTCACGCGTTCTCTATCGCCTAGTTGGCCTAGTTCATGTTCTCCACGTCAGTTGGACGCGGCCATGCACGCCAGTTCAGTGATGCACGCCACTTGCCACGACCGCATTTTTGGCTTCGCAAAAGCACGTGGCCACGTGGCCCACTGCAGGAAGCTCCCTGCAGCGGCTGCTGACGCCCGACCGCTGTCAGCTGGCGCGACAGATCTCCGGTGAGACACAGACGAGTCCCAAGACTCAGGAGGCGATGCGCCCTTCGTTGAGCGAAAACGGAGAAGGCTTTGGTGAGACAAGCGAAAACGATGTAAGAACAGATGCCGAAGTTAGATGCCGAACACCATGTTTCCAACGAAAAGGTTCTAAAACCGACTTAGCTTTAGGCCTTTGAAAGGTTGCTTTGGCCCGGAGCGGAAACCAAAACCCACATGAGCTTTCTCTCGGCTTTCCTTCGTCGTCTCTCCCTGAAATCAGGAGAGGCGCCTCTCCTATGAGGGCGAGAACCGCTTTTGGCGACGCCTGGGTGGGTGGCTCGTCTTCGTCCGGCGTTTGGATGTTCGTGTGGCATTCTTGAAGGATGCTCATGAATCCTAGAGTTGTTTAAGTCCTGAAGTTAAGAATGAAACGAGAGTGACACAAATTTCCAAGACATGTGTCCATTTGCTGGTGACTTCTTATTAATGATTGCTCGTTAGTTGAAGTTGTGAATTTCTCTATAGACTCTAGAGAGTGGCCATGTGTTTTCTTCCTAGCTTCCAAAAATTTGGTCCAGAGCCAAGCTCCTCCCTCTCCTTGCGAACTTTTCTCAGGCAAGGCGAGTACGAAAGTGGTTCACGCTTGCGGCTCTTGCGGCAAGATGCATTGACTAGGCCACATGGCTGGGTGTGCAGGTTTTTGCCGCCAAGAAAAGTCGACGAAACAACTCTTGCAGGAGAATTTCACTGAACTGGTTGGGGCCCACCGTCCACTTCCACATATATAGATATATGTATACTAGTATCATGCATACATTGAATATAGAGCAGCACCCTCCAACAGGTCATCAATTGAGAAGAGACCTTGGGTATGTGTATATATATATATATATGTACATTGCACATAGGCATTACACTGGAAATCTGCCCTTTCGAGCCCTCTGGATGGAGTCCTCCAGCATTCCTCGCTGAAAGGCATTGGTGTTGCTTCTTCGTGGACGTCAAGGCCGGGCCTTCGAAGGTGCGGCAGTACCGCAGCAAGGAGCGCAGCGAGCTACGAGCACACGAGCAACCCACCCACGACGTGCGGAGCTCGGCTCGTCAAAAACGGAGCGGAGCTCCGCATGCGACGGGGTTGAAGGGAGGGCTGGAGTAGACTGAAGAGGCTGAGGCTGATTTCGCACGTTGGGCGATTCACCTTTACTTCGAGTCTCCTCCCCCCAGCGGGTGCCGCCCAGGCCAAGTGCCCTTTGTGTAAGGGACGAGAAGAACCCACTGAGGCGGGCGCGAAGTGTGGAAGTTCACGTGTTTCTGGTCGTTCGAGGAGCAAAGGGCCATCGCTACGAACGGAGCAAGAAGCTACTATAGAGGCTCCTGGCCATCACTACTAGGAGCAAGGAAGGATGCCAGTAACAAGGACGCACCGTAGGTTGGAGGTCATCGCTAGCCGGTTCTTATTCGCTGGATCACGAACATGGATATCCAACATCCTGGACTCATGGGATTCGCCCGGTTCGGCGTGGCCCGGTGCAGGTGCTTCGAGTTTGGCCCGACGGACGCCTGGAAGAACGCGAAGGCTTACCCGAGAACGAGGCGACGTGGCAGGGTTCTTCGGTGCCCGTGGCGTCGAACTACATGCGCCTGGCCTCCTCAAGTGGTTTGTTTTCCATGCCTATCGATTCAATGTCATCAGTTGAATTGGTATGTAGAAACATGTAGAAACTGTCGCAAATGGTGGGATTACAACAGAAGCAGCTTGGAGACCAGAGCCTTTTTGGGAGACCTCGCCAGGAGGACAAGACAAAGTGGCTGGTCCGAGTTCTTCGCAATCCTTTTCCATATCTACTTACTCCACAGGAGAGCAATGGGAAATTGGCCACTCCGTACATTGTTCGAGCTCTTCTTCCGTGAAGCTATGGCTCACCAAAGCTACATCAGTGAAGAGTGCTGCCACGCATGTGTTTACAGATGTTTACAGTATGGTATTTGCAAAAACAGTTGTGTGAGACAATGAAAGATTGAGGAAACTCTTCGTATGATATCCCTGCAAAACCTACCGTGTGTAAGGCTGAAAGTGGTGCGCGGCTGGCAGATGCATAGGGAATTGGCAACCCCGAGCTGTTCGATCCGTTCGCTCCAATCCCAGGAGCTTTATGAAAAGCCCTTCCCCTTCGACCGCACAAAGCACGCGGCCTGCTTCGGGGACCATGACAACCATGCGGCCAATCCGGACGCGGATCATCCCTTGTACAGGAGAGAACTGGAACACAAACGCTCTGAGCTCGCGAGGAAATTGGAAGCCATAGTGAATCCTGTTGGGGTGGGAAAAGGGCCTCACCATAATTCTGCCAGCTGAAGCCCTCGCAGGGTTTCTATGAAATCGCCTTTTCGGAATAAGAAAACGGATGAAGATCCAAGGAGGTCCAAACAGCCGTCGTTGGTTCGAAGCCAGTTTTCGCGGGTCGGCAGAAAGGCGCCCTTTTCATCCCCTTTGGTCGGGTTGGCATCGCGAACGAAGCTCCTTGTGGCCCAAAAAAGGGGCTCGAATCCGATTTGTTTGCTCGAAGGATGGTGGATGGCTTTGGTGCCAGCGAGGTGGTGGTGGAATCGCCGACGCACAATGCACTCATTGGCATCGCCGACGACGCCCAGGCGGGCGGCGGCGGTCGTGAAAGGGTCCCTTTTCCAAGATCGCTACGAACGGAACACTGAGGCTGCTCGAGGCTCCTGGCAGTACTACTAGGAACAAGGACGCTACTAGGTGCTCCTGGCCGTACTCCACACTCAGCGTGCCCTGGAGATCCGAAAAGAGGTGCCAACGAAGCAAACAGCACCCCCGTGGTGCAGCTTTCCCTAGTTTCACAGTTGGCAGTGGAAATGTGGCTGGAGAGTGCTTCGATTCTTGGTAGATGTTCTTAGTTCCATGCACTCATGCGCCTCAAATGGCGGTGACCACCTTCTCGGAGATGTTGACATCAACTGCCATTTTTTTGCAAGATCTTGTTCCTAGTAGCAAGAATGCTCCTAGTAGTAAGGCCAGGAGCCCCTAGTAGCGTCCTTGCTCCTAGTAGCGATGCCCTTTGTTACGTAGCTATTTGCTTCTAGTAGCGATGAGGAGCCCGTAGTAGCTTCCTTTGCTCCTAGTTGAACCGAAACGTCCTCTAAAACTTTGGGGCTACTCTGGGGCGCTTGGTAGGTGGTCAATTCACTCCGCGCCATGGCTGCTCGAGGCAGGACGAGATCCTTGCACATCAGATGTTTTATCCGTTTCGTGGGGAGTATAGAGGATAGGAAACGCACGGAGACATCAAAAGCAAAGCAATCTCATCTCCACTTTGGATATAGATGGATGTTTGCTTTCGTGCTAGAAGAAAGCTTATTCAGCAAGCGGTGAGAGAATCCAGGCGTGAGATGTTGAAGCATTCCTTGGAAGGAAACAGCATTCACTAGCCTTCTGAGTAACAAATGATGAGGCAAAGCAAGAAGCAGACCCATCAAGGAACCTAGCAGTCCTTCCTTCCCTCACACATGCCGATTTGCTTGGACAGAACTCAGCTTTTCATTCCAAACAAGCTAAAGAACACCAAGCTCTTCTCTCTAAACATCAAGGTCTTCAGACCATTCGTTTCACCGACAACCCGTCCTTTCGCTGCTCCCCCGTGCTTTGGGTGCTTAACGACCGCCGACTTCGAACGCAGGGCGTTCACTGCGAAAGTGCCAGCGAGTCTTGCAGCTCATGTACCGAACCAAGGGAAGCTTTGCCCATGGCATCGTGCTTTCTTGTGAAGAAAACAGAGGTGCACACCATTGCGATTTATTCCAACAGAATCATTGCAAACAGACGAGTGACTAGATCTCAAAGAAAGGCGACTTTGCATGTGCTACTTGGATGAGGTATTTTAAGCAGTATGGCGCCGAAGCCAGCGGCTCTCTGATTCACCCACACATGCAGCCACTTCGATGCAGTCACTGATCCCCCGTCGTAGGCAGAAATGCTTCACAAGCTTGGCGTTGTTTCGTACTCACTGCGAGTCAAGGTCTGGGGAGTCACACTGTGTTTTTGAAGGTTCGTAACTATTCTTGACCGCTTCCTGAGCCAGTGATGGCCATTGTTGCTAGCTGCTAGTACTACAGGATCATTGGTTCAGAATATTTGATACCTTGCAAGTTCAACAAGAGCGATGCTAAGACATGATAAATCCTAGACAAGGTAGCAGATTTGAAGAGAAAGTCAGGATTTGCTCTTTGCCGATTGTCAGCCGCAGCTTGGAGCGGCGACTGCAGGAGCACAGAGACCGCCCTTGGTGGCGACACCGGTGTCACCACACGCATCGCGCCGCGTCGCGCCGCATCGCCAGGACCACAAGGACTTCTTCGATCTTCACGGCTGCTCTGGAGTTCACAAGTTCCTGGGCGAAAAGCGATCGACCAGATGTCCACTTGGGTGAAGTTGGTAACGCATTGAGACCTCCATCCACAAAACAAACGAAAAAAAAAGAAAAAAAACGCCTGGTTAAATTGCAAGCATCCTTTCACAACGTAGCCACGAATAGGGTCCGCTCATGGGACACTTCAGTGCGGGAAAACAAAAAAGGGGCCGGGCATTGGGTGATGTTCAACATGGTCTTTTTGAGTCTTAAGGACCTAGGCAAGTGCAAACTGGACCTGGTGTTGTTTTTCCATCTTCCATGGTATTTTAGATGCCTTGCGAGGATCTATGTGGAAGATGTCACTGGGGGCAATGCGATGAGCGTGTCTCGACTGGTGCACCAAACGGAGCACTTCGTGGCGTCGGTGCCCTTCGCACAAGTGCCCAGAGGGTCTCTTGGAACGCAGAGCGATGGCTGTGGAATCCGGATACGGCAGACTTGCAGGAATCTACATACACCATGTTGGGCAGGACAGGAAGCAGCTACTAGTCCACTGGTGGGTAGGACAGGATGCTTCGTCCGGTCCCACGCGATCGTCGCGTCGAACGTCGCCCAGGCGCATCATCGTGGCGCCGAAGCGGCATTGCAGTCGCTTCGAGGATTCCACGGAGGAAGAGCTGAAAGACTTGGGACGGCTCTTGCGTCTGCTCTTGGCGTCGCTCTATCGGTTCAAGGACGCGGCCCGGGCCTCCAAGGCCGCGGATAGAGGAAGAGGTAGCTAGGTAGCTAGTAAGGTAGCTAGTAGCTCAAGTAAGCTTCTACACAGGGACGCAGGATAGCTCCCGCATAGCATCGGAAAGGCAGGTACATGCTGGTTCATGGAGGGATGGTGGTGAACGAGTGTTTTTTCTGTTCATTTGGGTTTGGTAGACGTCTGTGGTGGACTTTCGTGACGCACATGAGGATAGTGGATAGTGATGAATATTCACGAAATGGAGGTTTGGACAGGAGCCCCGACGGATTCATTCATGGCATCCAATGTCCTTTTGGTTGCGAATCCCTCACTGTGGATTAGAACCGGGACCCCCCAAACCTATGGCAGGCTAAGATCGCTGGTGACATCTCACAGAAAATCCATGGGTTCTTCTCCACACCGGTGACTAAAGGCCAAGGGTTTTTGATGTGCATTCTTTCTGGATGGTTTTATGACATTGGTCAACTACGCACAAGCCTAGCCGCAAAGAACTAGGCTAGAAACTACTCTGGTTGCGAACCGAAAGAGGAAAAGCTGTCCGTGACCTCGGCGCCAGGACGATCCATCCTACAACTTGTTTTGGGAGAGCGCCCCAACTGCTCACGCCTTCCCCGACGACGAGGACGCGACAGCGACCAATGGACGGTCCATTCGATCGGTGGAAAAGGCAAAAAAAGCGACCGCAAGACTAGTAGCTTCTTGCTACTAGTAGTAATGCCCTTGTTACTAGTAGCGATGCCCTTGTTACTGGTGAGGTTTGGACCTCACAGCTGAAGTTGTTGGGTGGTGCTAACGACAGATGTTGGGCTTCAAGGAATGGACGCAGTGGTTCGGTGGTACGATGGCCCTTGGCCCACTATCCAGCCGGCAGGAGCGGGAAGAAGTTGAGCGAAGCTTCTGCTGGACTCTTCACATTCGCAACTTGACTTCAAGTTGATTTGAGTTGGTAAGTTTGCGCTTCAGTCCTCTTCATTGCCTGATCCAAAAAATGGCTCTAGGTTACTCCGCACCCGGAGTTTCAAACGCCTTCTTCCCGTCTCGTTCTTGTTCCGAGCAAAAGGGCCAAGTCCAACAAAAGCATGGCAAAAAGAGTTGGACATTCAGGCCTAGCACCGTATAAGAGAACATTGTGAAGAAGAAAGCACATCTAGAGCCTCCACAATGTTTTGACGAAAGTACTTTAAACAAGTCCAGACTGCCTCGTTCCAGCCAACAAGAACGCAGTCTGGTTCCAGATCTCCCTGAGGTGTTCCGCAGAAATCGTCTGGTTTTGGCCTTGCCAGCGGCGTGGACGTGACAAGGCGCATTCTGCGTGCATGCTGCAGAACTGACCGGAAAGAAGCAAAAAACGAGCTCCTAGTAGCGCCCTTGCTCCTAGTAGCGATGCCAGGAGCCCCTAGTAGCTTCATTGCTCCTAGTAGCACCGCCAGGAGCCCCCAGTAGCGTCCTTGCTCCTACTCGCTTCGCTCCATCCTTGCGCAATCCAACAAGGCAATTGCCTGAAGAAGAAGCCCGGGAGATGCGGACGGCTTTGCTACAGGAGGCCAGGGCGGGTGCTGGAGCCGTCGGCCGTCGACGAAGTGAGTTGATGTGGAAAGCCACCATGGGTCAGCCGCTCAGCCTGTGAAAACCATTCTCGGAGGGGTAGGCACCCTCACTGTATCTTTTCAGAAGTCATAACTTTGCATCTCGATCCAGAACGAGGTCAAGGTCTACCACTTCACATTCCCTCTCAGGTGGCCTACCCGATTCGCACAGCCGGCTTTGACGCGGAGCTGCTGAATTTGGAGTTTCCCAACACCGTGGGGCCCTTCGTGTCTCGGACCGCGCTCAGCGCACCGAGCGAGTCACGTGACAGCTTCGGGTCGCGTGACAGCTTTTCGTTGCCGAGGTCATGGTGAAAGCAGCTCAGTTCCCTCGAGTCTTCAACGAGTTCTTCAGTTTGCCACACGCCAAGAAGCCGGATCCCAACAGCGAAACCAGCCTCCTGGCAGGGCACAGTGTATGGGTGTTGCCATTGGACCGGAACGAACACAAAGCAAGCTGACGCTGACAAGTTTGGCCTCCAACCTAATAGCTATGGCCTCCACCATAATTGAGATGGCCTCCAGCCTACTATAGCGATGGCCTCCAACCTATTAGCAATGGAAATGCGCTTCCAAAATACTTCAAAAGCACATTGACTGATTGAGGCTTCATGGTGGGCGTGCAGCCTTGCGAGATTGGCCTTGAAGAGGGTGAGTTCTTGCTCTTTGCCCGAAGTGTCTCTTGTTCAATGTGTGCTTTGAACAGCCGTGTCGCAACTGTTCGTGTCAGGTTCTGTCATTGCTCCCCTTTGCATCCAACAACTCTGTCAACAGCTACTCGGGCCGCCGCTGGTGCCCCAAAACGGTGAAGAGATGTCATCAGATGCCGTAAAGTCTTTCCTCCACCCTAGTAGCGATGGCCTCCAATTTACTAGCAATGGCCTCCAACCTACTACTGGTACAATGACATTCCACCTAAGGGCAATGGCCTCCACCCTAGTAGCGATGGCCTCCAATTTA